TCACATATTTAAGGGTGTTAAAACAAAATATATACAAGTCATTGACCCTGAAATAAATTTACCATTTTAAAAGGGGCTGAAGTTTGTTTGACTCTGTATTCTGAACAGGAGAAGAACATGAACAGAATTCTGAAAAAGCTGGTGGTGGCATAAATATGCCAACCATTATAATGTTGCTTTTTACTTTTTCAGTACAAACAATATTAAACATGCGTTTATTGTACTTATAATATTAATCATTTTATAGCCTTTCATTATTGACTTTAGCTTATTATTAATGAATATAAGAAAGGGGAAAAACTAGGATTTCATTATCTGTTTATCGATTGAAATGTAATTCGTTGGCAATATGTCAAGGAAAATATAATATTCATACCTACCTACATAAAAGTCTATGCTACCTACCAGAGGCATTAACTCTATTTTCGATATATATATCGTTATCATCCCTGTTGATTTTCAATAATCTATCTGACGGACAAACAAATAAAAATTACGCAATATCCAGAGGATAGGGTGGAACCTGAAGGATCTAGCATTTGAGTTCTTATGTCTCGGCTACATGTTTCATTTTCAATCAAATATTATAAAACTTATTGCCATTATGACGGAACAGAGTACTAGGGCGTTGTATTGTAACTAACTTTGCATAATATTTTATTATATACGTATCTTGTCCTGACAACAAGAAACACATAAAAAAAGAATCGTCCAAGTTGGTGCAGTCGTTGAGATGTTATGTGCGAACATATATTTCGGCGATTTTATTAGCCAATGAGTTAAACACGCAGAGGTCGTTCGTATTTCGCATGCTTACCTGGACCTATCGAAGTGTAAATTCACAGAAATATATCAAGATATAAAAAATTATTTCTGTGTATAAGTTATAGTGTGGCGTTGACAGCTTGTGCTAAATCCCTTATGTTTCATCAGTCTCAGTTCCAGTAGTTTCAAAGTTAATTCGATACAAACAAACAAGCAATCAAATCGTTCGTCTATATATTATATTATTTAAGTATATACAGACAAATCCATCAGTTTCGAAATCATTTCATTATTTTCTCTTTAAGATTTAGTAAATCATTTTTGCGGGGTATTAAGACATTACCGAATTTACTTATTTATTTACGACACATAAGATACCTATTACAATCAATTCCTTTACTAACAGTGTTAACTAATTATCTGATACAGATCATAATCCAACAACATGTGTCTTTTGTGATAATTAACGTGTTTTTATACAATTTAAAACGAGATGACTTCATTAACGATGGAACTCCAATTTTGATAATGAAAACTTCTTCAGACGTTTGTCAAATAGGTATATCCAGTTTTCGAATGAGGTTGTATCTGAAACAAACTAATCTGAGAGCACGTCTTTGAATCCCCTCAATACGAAAATAGGAATTCCAGCGGTGTCTTCACCGCAGACCTCACAATCGCTTAACATACTCCCGGACACTTGTCCGAATTGGAATTGGAAGAAGGCAAATTATCGGGAACTTTATGCTGTCTTGGCTGAAACTGATTGGTCGGATGTGCTGCACGTTGAAGACGTGGATCATGCAACTGAGTTATTTTACTCTAAATTATATGGATATATTGATTTATATGTGCCAGTTAGAAATAAAAATTCATATGTCAATTCAAAGTTCATTTATCCAATTTGGTATACGGTGGACATAAAAATCAAATTAAAGCATAAATATTTTCATTTAAAAAAATATAAAGCGGAAGGTAAATTATATAACAGAGAATTATATAGGTACTATAGATGGCATACCAAGGAACTGATTCGAAACGCATATCGGCGTCACATGCATAATGTCCAAAATAATATTATAAAGGACCCAGGCAAGTTTTGGGCATACATTAAGGACAGGAGAAAGAACAGAATAAACATTGATTCTTTCACCTACGAGGATGATGTAGTGACCGAGCAAGCAGCTGCGGATGCATTCTCGCGATACTTTGGATCGGTATTTTTGGACGAGGAACCGCGCTTGAATCCCGATGATGCAGCTCGCGCTGCATATTCCATCATCGATTCAAGATCAGTAGTTGTCCCAACACTGGACAAAGCGGATCACACAGCGGTAAAACGTCTAAAAACGAGATCATCTGGGGGCCCTGACGGGATCCCTATATTCTTTATCAAGGATTGCATAAAAGTACTTAACGTTCCACTACTACATTTATATAATTTGTCTTTGGAGCAATCAAAATTTCCTGATCGTTGGAAGCAGGTGGATGTGGCCTACTTTGATTTTAAGAAAGCATTCGATCTTGTAGACAATGACATTTTGTTGCAAAAATTGGCAAAGGTGGGTTTTGTACCAAAACTTCTCCACTTTTTTGCAAATTATCTGAGAGATCGTCGCCAGTTTGTGCGACTAGGAAAATTTGTATCAGAAAAGTACTATACGAGATCTGGAGTAAGCCAAGGAAGTACGCTTGGGCCGACGCTTTTCTTGATCATGATTAACGATCTGCCCGAGACTGTCAAAACAGCGCGATGCCTCCTTTTTGCTGATGATTTAAAACTATATCTCGGTATTAGAGGCGCTGAAGATACAAATGGGCTTAAATGCTGTATCGGAATGGAGCAGTAATAACAATCTCCCTTTTAACAACACCAAATGTAAAACTGTTACTTTCACGCGAAAACGAAGCTTTATAAAAGTGGATTATAAATTATCTGACGTATCTCTGGAAAGTGTAAATAAAATTCGCGATTTAGGACTAACTTTAGACTATAAACTTGACTTTCACACACATGTGATTAATATTAGTAAATTTGCGAATAAGCTTTTAGGTTTTATTATAAGAACATCATCCGATTTCAGTGATATGTCCGTGGCTAGTGTATTATATAATGCCTATGTTCGCAGTAAACTTGAGTATGGAGCAGTTATTTGGGATCCGCACGAAGATAAATATGAACTCATGATTGAGAGACTACAAAGAAAGTATGCACGCTGGCTATATAAAAAAATCTACGGCTATTACCCGTATTTGTACCCGTCTCTTTTTGTATCAGGCATGCTTAATCTGGAGACCCTAGCACATCGAAGAAAAGTTCTCCTCGCTGCGCATTACCTTTCTGTGCTCTATGGTGAGCATTTCGGTTCCCATGCGTGTTTCGAGCGATGCTGCAGGTTTAGTGAAACCACGACGAATGCCGCGTCTTCTCCCTCGACCTCTCACTCGTACTGTTTATGCTTCGCAGGCACCCACAGTACGCGCAATGCGTCTGATCGGTGACATGCTCGCTCATCACGAGAAATCTGATTTATTTGTGGATGGTGTAAGACAACTAGTAGCTATGACTAGACAATTTCTAAATTTTATAGAATTCAGCAGCAGGATATAGTTGACATTGTGTATTCATACTAACATTAATTATTTGAATTGGCATGTATTGTAGTGTTCCAAATTGTAATTTATTTCTCTATATTTTATTTTATCATTTTAATTTTGACTTTTAAGCTAAGCTAATGGATTTATCAAATTTTAATTTGACATTTCTTATTATTCTTGACATTTTGTATAACTTGCATGTGTGTTGGACATAAAATCTGTGAACTTGCAAGTGTATGTATAATAATAAATAAATAAATAATAAAATACGGTTAATGTGAAAAGCATAATATAATTTAATTATACTTTATGTGTGTACTATACAAAGTGATAAAGCTTTCTGGTTATTTAAAAGCTTTCGTAGATCTACTCATGAAACTTAGTTTTTCCCCTACTATAAAGGTATAGTCATAATGCTCGTTAAATGAGAGTTTGGCATCACAGAGGATTCCCAGATTATATACAGATATTTTGCTGTTGAAATTCTCTTTAGGTCATTGTTATTCAAAGAATAATTGAAAGTAAAAGTGATGTTTTGACATTTCCCGACATTTAGGACCATTTTATTTTGTGCACACTATTGTGAAATTGTGTCAAGTAGTCTAGCTAGTCACTTCAGAGTAAATTTATGTCATCACCATATAACAAAAATTGACTCTGCAAACGATTAACTAAGTCATTTATAAAAATATCAATATAATGTGGTCCTAAATGTGACCCCTGTGGCACTCCAGAGGTAACCAAGACAAGTGAAAGAGTTCCTTCAAAGCAACGAGCTGATTTCTACGCAAGAAATAGGACTTCCAACGCAACAAACAACCATGCACACCGAAGGCTTCAAGCTTTTCACAAAGAATGAAATGATCAACCTTATCAAATGCCTTCGAAAAATCGGTGTATATTGTTTCACTTGTTTATTTTGAGCAACAGCTGAACATTATATTTTTTATTTTCGAATAAGTAAGCGGTGGTAGACATATTCTTAATGAAACCGTGCTGCAAAGATCTCCATATTTCTTAAATAATTTATGGAATTTCAGTTTTTCTCTAATACAACACTTCAAACATTTATTAAAGCATGCAGGTAACTCATTGTTAACTCAAAAATAATTTTATTTTATTTAAATTAACATTCACATTCACATCGTCAGCAGTAAAAATAGAGTAGATAGAACCAATTCAGTTGTGCAAATTCATTATCAATTTTAGAATAATCACATTTATTAAAGTTAGGATGCTTTGTAAATTTATTTATAATAGGTTTCAGAGTAACATTACCATCAACACATACAAACAAAGCAGGATGGTGTTTATCCAAGGATACAAGAGGATCGGCTTCCCGAACGAGAATTGAGTCTGACAAGGAAAATAAAAGATTACTTTATCATTGCAGATGCCATTATATTTATATTGTAATTTTGATTTGTGTAAGTCGAAACTTGTCTACAATTTGAACAAATACTATTTTGTTTATTCGGGACATTAATAAAAAAGGACACAATTAAGATTTAAGATTAAATTGAATTAATATCACAGCCATTCAGTATTGCAAGTTTTACATTAATACTTTTTGTAAATACCTAGTTTTACATGTGTAATAGTTTTATGCATAATAAATTAATTTATTATAAAAACTATAGCAAATTCAAAAGCTTATTACACATTGCATATTATCATTTAACAGATACTATACAGTGTAATTATTAAAAAAAAAAAGGAAAATATATTTATATACAGCTAACTTAAAACACCAATGGCATCAGAAAGGTAATTATGAATAATATTGCACGTTTATCACAGCTTGTTGTTATGTCGATGTTAATTTTTAGTTTCTGAATCTTGGCCATCTAGAGATCTCTCTGAATAATGCGTTTCCAGGGCACTCAGTCGCTGAAGCTTGTCTGTGTCCCATTAGAGTGTAATTTGGACTAATATGGCCTAGTCTCACTCCCTCTTGGATCAATGCTTGCGCTGCTCGCAAAGCTGCTGCTGGTGGTGTGGTATCTGTAAATTAAAATAAAATGTGAATTTAATTGAAGAGTCTGACTAATTATTGCGACAAACCTATATACGCATTAATATTATTTTTCTTTAGATTATTATACCTATGTTTGTTATATTCCAAAAGCTGTTTTACCACGTAAATTTTAGACTATGTCATTGCAGAATATATATAATTGGTCAAGTAGTTTTGGAGTTTATTTAATGCTAAACAAACAGTAGTAATTTTACTCTTTATTTATAATATTACTCTGTATTACATGATTTTTATACCCTCAATTACCTATATCTCAACGTGTTACTGGTTATAGAGAGAAGATTTGATTGCTTGTTTAAATTAAATAGGCTCCGAAACAATTAGAACGATTTTAAAACCATTACTCCTTAGTACCATTTACAGGTTTTTGTAAATTACGTCACTGTTGCGAGCTCTTATAAGTTTTTTATTGGCCACACTTCTTTTCAGTCGAAAGACGTTCTGAACAGAGATGCTTTCAGTGAGCTTAAAGCTACTCTCGTCTTAGTAGTTAGACGAGATGAGAAGAGCTGATTCGAGAAGAATAGATAACTTTATTTTATTCAATATCTATTACGCGAATGTTTTAGTTTTTCAGCTTTTATAATTGATACCTTAAGAGAACGTCCGATATAACTTAATAAACGGTAATATGTTTTCGTAATTTTGTGTAGAAAAACAAGAATAACTAAATACCATAAAGATCCATTTGAATAGGGGTGACGTGACGCCATGTTATTATTGAAGAATATTATATACGTATTTTTTATTTTTTTAGTAATCAATAAAATACGGTTATGCATTGTGTTGAAATGTCGCATGGCGTCACGCTTTTTTACATTTTCTACAAAACTGTGACGTAGCAAGACCCCACTTCTCAACTTTAATGTCTATTATCTAAGCCATTTCTTATTTAAATTGAAGCAAAAAACAAGAATCTAACATTTTTCTATTACCTATCTGACTGATGAACTAACTACTATAACGTTTTTTTACCCAGTTGTCATTCCAATTATAATTAATTTAAAGTGGCATCGCCGACACAATTTTTTGAATTTGAAACATCGATTAGAGCTCAAAGTGGTTATTAAGCTAAGATCGTTTGTGCAACTAGGTGTAACAGATAAATAATCTGCTAGTTTACCTGCTAGACTGCTATTTTAAAACGATAAGATACTTTCATTGGCGGGTAACATAGGCTATAATTTACGCAAGCGAAGTCGCTGGGAAACAGCTAGTCTTTTAAAATTATAAAACAACTGCATTTCTTTTCGCATATTTTTTACGAAATTGGTGTTATTCGGCTTGCATTTCAAATTTTAGCTGGAGAAATAAAAAATACTTACTTCTCCAATCACCGATAAGTACAATCCCGACGCTTCTAGAATTGTAACCGACAGCATGAGCGCCTACCACTCTCCATCCACGACCTTCGTAGACTCTCCCTTCACCCCCTACCGCAAAACTGTAAAAGAGCAATATTTTTTTATTAATAACTAATAATATCTGAGAAACTTGAAGAACGAATGTTAAGCTTATTAGGCAAGGACCTATCATGGGATGGGTGACTAAAAATTTATTATCTCTAATGTTCTTATTACTGTGCTTTGGAAAGCACGTTAAGCCGTTGGTCCTGGCTTCATCTGCAGTTGTTAACACCCACTAATATACACAGGGACTGGTGGGTCGTGGTCCATTCTACCTTTCGATTCGATTCATATTCCATCCATAGTGAAGGTATGAACTCCAGCAGTTGGTCATTAATAGACTGGTAATGATAACTTTAATAATAAAAGAAATGCTTAGTAAAGTTTACCTTAATTCTTTTTCAAATCATATTTTTCATTTACTTAATTATTAAAGACTTTTGAATTATTATTTTTACGGATTCCTAAAGGTTAGGGAATAAAGTCCCATCTTTGGCACTGCTTAATATTTCAAGTTTTTACATCAAAAAAGAATATTGATATATCTATAGTAATAATACTTTTAGTATGCTGCAAGTATTTACTTTCCAGAATTTTTAGTGTGGATTTAAAGGCATAATACCGCTATAACATGCTATAACATGTTTATAATACGGTTAATAATTAAAAAACCGAACAAGATCGAGACGGAATCACCCGCCGAGGGTTCAGTACAAATTTTGTAGGTTAGAATTTGTTGTAACATAAAATAAAATATGTTTTGAAATATGCACAAAAAGCTTAGCTCTATTTTTTATATTATAATTACAAATGTATCATTTGTTTAATTTTCCTTGAAGTTTTACTAGAATACGTTAGATGTTATTTGCCAAAATCCATAGTACTAATCTAGGTCAATGGGACGTATCTATTGATTTCGATTCCTTCGAGAGAAGCAAGAAAGAAAATACATTTAAATGCAAGGAAACTAGGAAAAATTTTAATTAGAAAGAAATACTGACTTGTAACCAATATCAGACCATCCGTTGGCATTCATGTGCGAGTTTTGTATGCTCCTCATGGCGGCTGCACACGCAGCTTGAGTAGTACACACGCCTGGTATAAAGGTATGGTGGATCACGACGTGAGTAGCTTGCTGCATCCTTGACACGGCACCGGATGCTCTCGCGCCCCATCCCGCTCTATTCACAAATACGAATGCTGAAACAAATGAATAAATGTTTTATTATAAGGTTGAAGAAGATAGATGGGATTCGCAAAATCATATCCAACCTTTTTCAACCCGGCGACTTCGATTAAATGTTCTGTTTTTTAAGTAGTTACTTTTTAAGAAATTAATTGATGACAAGGCATGTTTAATGAATTATTACATCCATAATTTCGCAATAACATCCTTATTTTCGTTTCTGTTCATTTGGACATAGACTCTCATGTAAAGGCACTAACTAGACAAGCTATTCAGAACTAAAGTTGCGGCATAGAGACGGCAATACGAAACGTTGGATACTCCCAACAGATTATAGAGCAATTTTTCTGTACTAAATACGTAGCTTATCTAGTATCGAGTTATATTTTAAAGTCAATGTATATTCTTCTTGTTTGTTTCAGAACGAAAATTGATTATTGTAGGCTCTTTAAGCCCATTAGAATGATAGTTTTTTTTGTAAAATTGCTACCATGTACCTAGTTCCCGATATAATAACTATCTTTAAGCGCATATTTAAACTCAGTATAAATGTAATAAATAATATTTTTATTAAAAATTATTAAAATAAATAGAAATAATAAAACTTCCTTATTTAAATTAAACTACATTATTCTAAATCGTCATGCGGAGATTTTAAAAAATATATATCATTGTTATCTTTACATTTAAATATAGGAAAACATATTAAAATAAAGGTAAAGGTAAAAAAGGTATTTGTTTTAGGTACTTACAATTAAATGGCTCTATAGCATAGCTTGTGCAGCTTGCAAATAACACTGCCAGCACAAATAAAGAAGAGACTGCCATCTTCTGGAAACAATCAAAATTAAAATAATTAAAACTTCATATTATTATCATCAACATTACCAGTCAATTAATGGATCCACTGCTGGAGATCAGGCTATCCCTACGGATGGAAATGAATCAACGGTTTAACGTCCTTCCAAAGTACGGAGGAGCTCGAGATAATAAATTTTTGGTCATCCATCTTATGATCAGCCATTGCAAAAGTTGCTTAACAACCGTATCTCAGACCGGACCAGACAATAGTTAGCACGCGTTATTTTTTATCACGAACGCTATAAATTTACATATTGTTTAAAAAACGTAACTTGTTATAATTAAAAAAATATATTATTTTTCAACTGTCGCATTTTAATATTTTCTATTTAATTTTAGTATTATCTATATTTTTCATAAATTTAAAATTTAAAATTTATTGCATGTTTTAATTTTCAATTTTATTTATTTGTATAAACTAAATTTTGATTTGTGTATATGAGTGTTAATGCTTGTAATAAATGGAATTATTATTATTATTATTATAAATACAAGGTTATTTAGTTATTAGTTTTTACAACACTATATAATTTTCAATTTTATAATTACAAGTTTTATTTTTACAAACCAATGAAGATGGTCTTAGATAATTGTTTTTAAAACGAGTCAATGATTTTGCTTATTCAAGGACGCCGACTCTAACGTTAGGTAGCGCTACTTAATTGCTTAAATATCAGTGGCAATCAGTAGGCAGAAGTCAGTTGAAGTGAAATCTAACTTAATATATTACATATACCAAGTAAATGGTAGATTATAAATCACGTCGAGTTCGATATGCTACTAGTGTTTAAATGTAATGTGATAATATATTTATTAGCTTAAAGTTTTTAGTCTTCACAGTGATTTTTACCATGTGCCTAATGAAAAAAGGTTAAATTTCATTAAAAAGTAATAGGTTACTGATTCGCATTGGACTCTTGTTAATGTTTTTGTCATTGTTTTATAATCCAAGGTTATTTTTCCGAAAACATATTTATCTAATATAATTTTTATAAGATAATACACAATAATATTGAAATGAAAAGTCTTAGAACATTTCTGTAATTGAAAATAAATTATAGATTGTATTTAAATAGATGAAGTGGTACGTACAGTACCTATTGTATTATCTGGCTATATATATAATAAATATATTTAATGGCTACTGATAATAAATATATTTAATGGCTACTGATTTAAATAAATTAAAGTATTTGTAACTTTACAAAGTAATTAATTTCAAGTGTGGAATTTTAATAATTTGCTATTTAAAAGTTATTGACAATCCGGCTAAGTGAAAAAAGTTGATAAGATTCGTGAATTCGTAATGGTGTAAATATTCAATAAAAATAATGGTCAAATAAAATATGTGACTAAATTTTATAAAATTTTGTTTCATTTATAAAAGATAAATACTTCTTGCAAATCTAAAAAGTGACCCTAAAATTATCAAAAACCTCTTTCGAATGTAAAACAATAATGTCTTACTGAACAATTTACGTAAAGGAGTTCCATCATAGACTTATGTATAAAAATATTATTTTCTAATTAAAAAAATACTTACTTAAAAATAAAATATTTTTGAATCACAATAAACAGCACAATTTAATGTCAATTTAAACTCAAAAAACTATTATAAAAACAGAAAAAAAAGTAACGCGAAAATATACAAACAGCTTACCTCCTTATTAAGCAGATTTCAAAGTCGATTATAGAATAACACAACCCGTCTTTATGACAAGAGGTTCAACGAGTTAATGAGTGCTTCCAATCAACCGGGAGCATTTAAATATGTTGAACCAATACTGAAAGATAAGGAACATACCTTGATTGACAGATTTTATCAAAATTAGTGACTTTTAATCAATAATAATAATAATAATCTTTTGTTTGTGATTAATTACCATAAAGGGAAAATACCTTATCAGATGTGATTATTATGATAAAAATAATACTTTTCTCACGATTAGTTTTGAGCCGCTTTTATATAATATCTTTTTGTATGTATCTTTTTATATGTACAATGATAATGACAGATGTGAGATTTTTTTTTATTATTTTTATTTTTCATGCCATTTACTTGATTTGTAGTCCGTTTTTAATTTCGGCCGTTAAGTATCTAAAATTCGATACGTATCTTAAAGTTGGGGTTTCCCCTAACTTCACGCTTCACGCCTACATAAGTTTAAATGGAAAGGTAAAATGGAATGATTGCATCTTTGATTCAGCAACAGATGATAATAGATATTAATAAATATTCAAAAGCATCATTGGTGTAAAATTCGTTGTATCTTTTAAATTGCCAATTAGGATTATTATTATTATTTGTATTATGATTATGGATTTCACTGAAGCGTTACCAAAATAGTCATTTATCCATCAGAAGACAAGTCAAATTAGTAAAGTGTTGCGGTTTTTTCGAGCTACTTACCACGACAGATCAACTATAAAATATAAGTCTATAATTGACTTTGATTTGGCAAACTAATTCATATAAGGCTTTTCATCAGATTAAAGTTGAAGAATGTATCTGATCTTATTGAATTCTCCTATGAATAAAATAGAATACGTAGAAGGGGCCATGATCCACCACGCGCGCCCAATATTGATTAGTTAAGGTTAATGACTGTAAACGCAACCGGGCCCAATGGCTTAATGTGACTTTCGACGCACGAAAGAGTTCGAGATAATAAGTTTTCCGTCACGGATCCCATAACCGACCTTTGCGAAACCGAATTCGCTAAAATTGGCCTTATGCAATACCAAAGAGGACACGGATATGTTTGCACACCTCTGGGGAGTCACATTCATCTCGTTATTCAGAGAAGCAGGGGCTTTCTTGACACTATGACACATGAATACTTAACCCACATAACCTTTTTTTATCGCATTCGGGGTTATGTGATTTTGTAAAAGCTTTAGTTGTGATTAGTAGATTGAATATATAGAACTATGACGCACTTAGTAAGTTATATAAGTATCTACAAACATTTATATAAAGTATCTATGATGATTTATATTTATATATCTATGATTTACCTCACTGTTTTGTCGTGCCTTAAGTAAATAAATTAATAGAACAATCAAATATTCGATTGTTTGTTTGTTTGCGTCGAATAGGATTGGACCAGTTTCAGAAATTCTTTCATTTACAGGAAGCTACGTAATACGCGAGTGAAACACATTATAATTTACGCGGGTGGAGTCACGGGAAAACAGTTTTTAATTTTTAAGGAACTATACATATACAAATGCAGGAACTTTTTTTTTTTATATTTACCGCTCCCTATAATTAGTTAATGACCTGTGAGACAATCTATGAGATCCCGGGTTCGATTCCCAGTTTAGTCAATATAGAAAATTACTTTTCTATATGGTATGGATGTTGATTAACCTACGAAGTTTCATATTTCTATAATATCTAAATGTGTTTTACTACTTATATGAAAGTTATATTTGTATATATACATATAAATAAAAGTAATAAATTTCGAGGGGGTTTCATTCAAATGTTTAATGAAATCGGTTCAAAAGTTTTGTTTTTATTTTAAAAACAAAGGAAGAACAATATCGTTTAAATTATTATCACTAAAAATTACGGCTGAAAAATAGTCGGGCAGTTACAAATATGGTCATCAAATATTCGTCCGAAGTCAAATGAAGTTTAAGTTTCTTTTTTAAATATTTTTTTATTATTTAGATATTCTTTACAAAACATACTTGAAAAAGTCAACTTTTATACTGTTAACAACTGAATAGTTTAGGAAAAAGTATCATATAATAATATATTTAAATATCATATATAAAATTATTTTGATGTCTTAAAAGATTTATTTGTATTTTTTAGAAATAGGAAAGTAAAGTAATGAAAATAAAATATTTGTACAAGTATTTTCTGTGAGATTAATTAATTAATTTTGAAAATTTATTAATTTTGCATATACGGTGCATATATATATTTGATAGAATTTCTTATTCGTCCCGTCTCGGAAAGACACCTACAGCAGCTCTACCCAATCACCACTGAAAGTCCTGATTGATCTGGCAAAACGTCAGCAATCCAATCAAGATTAGTTTAGAATTAAAGTTACCAATCCTGAGTCTGCTGACAGTTGATCTCTCAAGCCTGACAGATCGCTTAAGACTACATTTTGGCAGATCAATCATCGCTTCAGTTACGCGCGGTAGAGCTCACAGGAGTGTCTGTGAAATTTTCTTAATATGGACCTACTTTTCTCAAAATCAAGTTGATTATTTCTAGTTTATCTCACGATATGAATATGTGCAACGCGCTATTGGTATCTATGTGATTCTATTCGTAATGTGTGGCCACCCTTTTAATGATTTATTAACTTTGTTTTCAATCAAACGTTAACAAATAAGGAAAATAGGTAGGATAATTAATAGTTTGTCAAATGTCACGTTATACCTAGATAAGAATTCGCTGAAATAGGGACTTCCAAAAAAGTAATGCGTATCGAACTAGTTATTTTGAATCATATATATAGTTATTTAGTTTATCAGTTTTGGTGGAAGTAAGTTAGAGTAAATAAATTTAATTTCTTCTTGACTTTCATCTAGTCCATAAGAAAGATTTGTACCTCAGCAGTGGAATAATAATAGGCTGGTGATGAAGATGAAGATGAACAAAGAATAGCTTTATTAACTTCACAACAACTTCATTATGGATGCAATCTATGACCGATACATCGCAGGTACTATGTAACCTTAGTTAGGTTCGATTCCCCGTCTGGTCAACGAAGGAAATAAACTTTTCTATATTGTCTTGCCTCTGAATGTAATGTTGTTGACTTGTTCGTCATTTCAGATTTTTATAAAAAGTGCATTACTTAAAAATTGCTCAAGTTTAGAAACATAATCAAAAAGTGCATAGTAAATTATATCTATCTAATAAGTGTAAAATAACAAGGCCTGAAGCATTATAATGAATTTGGTCTAGTTTTATCGATCAGTATAGTTAATACGTAGATAATTACATGTAGCAATTAGCAAAATATTGATTCGACCTTTGTAGAAGGTTTCATTAAATCAAAATACATGCAAGCCACGAGATGAAGATCTCATATATGTAAATAATAAAATATCTGAAACAATGCAAAATTAATTTTTGCTTAAAATGTACCAGGTATAAAGCTACATCAAAATGCCTGGAAAGCATCTCCCTCATACGAGAGCGTATGAAATTTAAATTTATATCTATCAAATTATATAAATGTCGTCGAGAGAAGCTCGATTTTGTAGTGATTAGCGTGTACTGAACACGCTAATCACTACAAAATCGAGCTTCCTTCATTTGATACCTTTAATTGCTGGGGTTCAGCAAATTTCGGTATGTTGAAGGCGGATTTAACACAAAATGTGTTATATCCACACAACACGCAGCACACAATGTGTTATAACCAGCTCCTCTATTAAAGGGGCTTAAAGCCAAAACACTATCCGTGTCTATCTAATTGGGGCAATGAAATGCAGGCAGAGGTTAGCGAATTATGCAATAACAACTATTGCAAATTAATCACTCAAAATTTATGTGCTGAAGAAAACTCTCCGGCTACAAAGTGACTCAATGGAAAAAATTGTGAATTTAAGGGGTAAATTTGTGATTTTTTTTCCTTTGGAAAAGCTGTTATACATTTGGTTTTGCTGGACCCAAACCCTGTGTATAACAGCTTAAGAACGACCATAACAGTGGGAACATTAGACCGAATGTGTATATATTGTTGTTAATTAATTAATTTGTTTAAAGGGTTTTCATAAAATTCGATTTGAAGCAAACTGACAAATTGGTAAATACCGGCCGCCTGTGATATAGCTAGAGTGTGTACAGGAGAAACGGGAGGTATAGATGAAAAGCAAGAAAAGAAGACATAGAAAGAGAGGCAATGTAAAAACATAAAAAAATGCTTAAAAATAACTTTGTCCCTGGCAGTCTGAAATGGGACTCGACCCCATGACCTTTCGCAAACCGGACCTAACCAGGACCGTTGAATTTTTCAAGCACTTGATACTTTTTCGCTGCTACTACAGAGCGTATTTTCATCAATGTTCAGTTCAATGTTCATCCCCCCAAACAGCTGCAAGAAATAATTTTACAAGTATTTAAACTTTCGATAAAGATGAATTTTTTTTCTCATTATTATAGTTGATCAATTTTGCATTCATAATGTTATACTAAAATATATTCTCAATGAAGTGGTTAGAACAGTCCAGCCCGGATTGCGAAAATTCGTGGGCTCGAATCCCGTCTCAGATTGCCATGGACAAAGTGAATTATTTAAGCATATTTCATTGAGAATATTTTTCAGTATAGCATTGTGAATGGAAAATTGATGAAATATAATAATAAAAATGTATATGAAATATATCCTATTAATATTATCAGTGTGAAAGTTTCTTTGTTTGGATGTTAGGGTGTTTGTCCGTCAATCACGCTGAAACTACAGAACGGATTTTGATGAAATTTGGTATACAGATAGGGTAGTAGCTGACTTAGATAATAGGATACTTTTTATCCCACTAAACATTTCCCTAGTTTTCCCTAGAAAGCTAGTATATAATAATATAATTAAATACATAAATTAATTTCCAACAAAAGCTGTATTATATGATTTCAGTTGTGAATGTATTTCAACAACGAACTCGATGAAAGATTTATGTGCTGTTGTCTTGGCTCTCAAACATTGAAGGTCAAAGGGAGCAGCATCCAGGTGACCATGCGATCACCTGGATACTGCTCCCTTCCGACAAGTTGCTGTCTCGCCAGGAATCGTGTTATGGTACCTTCGTTGTCTCAGATACTCCGTAATATGGCGGCTTTAGTTACTCATCTTGGTATCTGGACAATGTACATGATGTAGTCTAATATTTATTTATTTATTAAAACCGGCAAATTAATATATCTCTGAAATAATACAAATATACAACTACATAATGCTTGTGGATAGTCCACTGACTTTAACCCAAATCGATTCTGTTATGTCAAACCACAACTCAAAACAATCACAATACAATAAGTACGCCTAAGAATTACGGGCGACTTTTGATTTTGGGACCGTACCTACTCATATCGTAACTGACATTTAATATCTGTTTTGCTATCTATCAGTAGTTTTGTACTTGAAATAGAGATGTGAAGTTTCGCAATGCATCGATAATTTCAAATAAATTTATGTGAATTCAGGATAACTTTTTGATTCCTTCTAGTTCTAGAATATCTGGATACATTATTTTTAGTTAATCCTCCTTTTATCTTCAAACTTCTGTATGAGTTTATAATAATACTCTTCTAGTGACTTTGCAATGTTTAACATCAATGCTGAGTATCTCGCAGAATCACCTTTTGATATCCTTTATCTAATGAATCTTTGGCCTAATATACTGACCAACTAACAGAATAAGCACAGCCTAAACGGCTGGACATAGAGGATTGAAATTTAGATAGTTAATTCATCTTCTTACGTAGATTCTATAGAGGTGTACTAAGAAAAGATTATTGAAAATTGTATACGTACGAATCTTTGTCTATAGCTATGATTGTTTAGTAGATAAAAACCCTGGGAAGCTAATAGATCATCAGCACTTATTATCCTGAAAATCAGCACTTAAAGGAATAAAAATGTGAGTGGGAATTTTAATGGAGAAAGAAAATGTTGCCATTGTTTATTATTTAATTTGTCATTGAAATAAATTTGTAGATTTTACTTTATAATATGTATAGTGATAAAAATTGGTATTTGAGTGCTGTAAAACATTTTTTTTATAAATGTTCAAGTTATTTCATATACTACGGAATAAATATTATTTTTATATTTTTGAGCTATGCAAGATAGTGTTAAGTGTATTCTATCTAAATCTCGCTATTGTTTTGTAAAATATTTTTATTAATGTATGACTTTGAACTTTGCTACACTAAAAGTGTAGCACTAGGTATTGTTTTCGTTAAAGACTAACATTAGAACTTGCAGTTTGTTTTAGATATTTCAAATTGGGTTAAATCTCTTTTTGTTGTAGTTTAGTATTGTGTTCGCTTTGTTTTTTAACAATTGCTCACTATCGATCTGTATTAAATCATTTTATGTTGTTTTTTTTTTTTTGTATAAAAGAATCGGTTTACTGTCTATACTAATGTAATAAAGAGGAATAAATTGAATTTGTTAGTTTGCAATTAATAAGTTCATTTGAATAAATAATTATTTTGATTTTCGTAGGTATTGTGATGTTTTCTACTAATTATTTATCGATATCGATAATCGTGTTTATACTCTTATATTCTACTGTAATTCAGGAGCGTCGTAATCTACGTCATTGGGCGCTGGCCGGAAACAAGGCGCCGCGTAATGAATCGCCAGATGATCACTATCTGAATTAATGCTTAAAGATCCATTGTTAGGAGTTCGATCAAGTCTATTTGTTTCTTTATATATCTATATTAATATTATAAAGAGGAATGATTTTATTGTTAGTTTCTTTATATCGGATATTTGCTGAAAACACTGGACCAATTTTAAAAATTCTTTCGCCCACGGGAACCTACACCTTACGCGGTGACATAGACTATAATTTGTTCCAATATAATAATATAATATCTGAATTATCAGAATTGAATATTAAAATTGGACGAATAATGCATGCCTTATTCATGGTAAGTGACGTGTCATAACCTCAAATCTAGGCGTCGGTAGTTTTCCAGTTCCGCCAGTCGCGCCATTTTTAAAAATTTTCATTTGTTTCCATTATTGAATGATGAAGTAATCGGTATCATTAGATTAATGCTAAGATATAAATTATTCTAACTGATTAGAACGGTGAAAGTCCGATAACATAAATAAAGCAGGAACTGGAATAAAATCGTATATATTTGAACATTTTAAAATTCATTATAAACAAAGAATATACCTGAGTCTTGAAAAAAGCAGTATTTTTTCTATGCTTTGGTTCCACCCATATATCTTTTGGGGTATGGTTCTATAAATGACGACATGACCCGAATGTAAAGTACGAGCGATTATTGTGGTCTCATTTAATTGGTCAATAAACCAATGACAGACAATGACCGACCAATAAAATCAAAGCATATAGGTAATCAATCCACATGGGAGCCCTGTCATCAATGCAAATACTTCATAAAACATTATTATATTGTCTGTATTTATACTAATTATTATAAAAAATATGAGTACGGAAACAAAGCAAACTTTTTTGTTCTAAATTTTTTTTTCAATTTATTTTTGTTGCATTACATATTCAACTGATATTGCAATTTTGACCTTATACAGTCGAGTGATGACAGATAGTAAAAAATTGTATACGAACAGTAAGTCCCCGTCTGCCGTCAGGACTAGAAGTCAGAATAAATTTGTGGTAACCCTATAATATATACAAGCCTATAATATAAGCAAGAGACAAGCCCATCCTTACCTATAATATGGCTACAATATTAACTCATTTTTTTTTTTCAAAAATAAACCCACAAATCGTTTAAAAGTAGTTTTGTGTAATGAGTAGAGCGCTTTAAGATAAAAGAAACAAACTGTCAAAATTTATAAATAAAATTATTAATAGATACTTATCTCTAAGTAACTTGGTCGTTTACAATTAAAATAATGATTCATAAAAATCTAAATTTAAGAGAAGGTAAATAAACAATGTTAAATTATAATTAACTGAAGTGTCGTCGTATACGTAAGATGACTCATTTAAGTAGGTACTTCCCGTCACTCTTAATATTTTGGGGCGAGAGACCATACTGAAGGAAAAGGTAACAACAGTTTATTCATAATATTTCGACATTTTCGGGTATCTACCTATATACAGAATATCAGGAAGAATGAAAACAATATGAGTAATTACCTACTCATGATAGAGGCAAAGCTTTTAGGAGCTTGTCCATGAATTCGTTGTTATTTCAAACACGAGGTTTTAACAGTCATTTATAGATGACGAAAAAGAGGATTGTAATTTTTATTTACACAGGCCTGGATCTAGGGCTTGAGTGTTCAGAGGCGCCGAAACCGAATTATATAATACCTAATATAATAATATAAAGTCTGGCTTCACCGAGTGTGGGGGACGGGGTGAAGACGCAGGGCGCCACACGAAATTTCTACCTCGATTAAAAAATATCGTAGATTCGGGCCTGTTCACAATCGCAATGTTTTATTGTTATTTTATTATAGACTAATTTTTCTTAAATCCGTCTTTGTTAATGAAAAACGCGTTAAAATTAAAGTGTTATTTTAAAGAACTCAGCTATATGCTATTGTTATATAAATATATTGAGAAATTCAATGTCTCCGGTGCCAATGATGGAATTCGAACACAAAACCTTACATAATCCGGGCGACTTCTCTTTGTTATTATTGATATATACCAATAAAGCATCGTGAAGGAAATAAGTTATTAAATTCATACATTTTCAATTTAATTGGAAACTAAAATTATTTATTGCTTTCTACTGTTTCTGTAGATTCACACAAAATACACTGACTGATAGCGAAAACCAGAAGCCAGAAGAGAAATTTGACAATATCGTTAAGTATTCTGCAATTGACAATTTTATTGGTACGAAGAAGATTATATTTAGTTTCAATACTCCACACCTATTGCGTTTTAGATTCTGCAAAAAAAACAAGATACAAGTAGATACTATGATACAGCAGGCCAATTTTGATAATGTTGCACTATAATATTGGACTTTAGGTAAATAGTTTAATAGGTAAGATTCTATTGAGATGCGATCATTACGTAATCATGTTTTTTTTCCAAATCATTTTTTATGACTTATTTAAATAAAATAAGCACTTATAAATAATTTTTCAAAGAGAGTAGAATAAGCTATTGAGCAAACGGTTTCTTATTTTTTGTCTGATAATTGCGCGTAAAGCGTGTCCTTAGTGTCAAGGGCGCTATCGGCAAATAATTTAAGAAATATCTAAACTGAACGGCCGCGTCCACTCTCCCGTATCCCGTTCGATCGTGCCGGGACGACCGACATACCTATTTATAAGTTCCAGAAATCTCAGACGAAATTCCTGTGTTTAGTACAGAGGCACGCGCGCGCGCCGCCGTGTCTGCATCTTATTACTTTTAAAAGCAGTTAACGTGAATAAAAATTATGAAAAGTTCCCTCTAGTGGCTTATAAGTGTAATAAAAGTGTGTAGACGTTCATGTGAATAAACGAATACTGCACATTTATACGCTAATGTAAGGTATAGATTATAAGATGACAGTTTTCTTAAAAGTTTCATAGATTTTGTTATCTTCTTGAAAACAAACAGCACACTATTTTAATAATGACTAGCGGATTTTCCTGAACTTACATTTCCTACACTCTACTTCTATAATCTTTTTATTTAATATTTTTTGAGATAATTCTTATATTTCAGTTAGCCACAAAACTTTCATGAAGACCAATACCTTCTTCTTTCATTAAGTACCAATTGTTTTAATGTAGCTTTATTTTTATTTATTAAGTTTACTTACAAATTTTCTATGATATAAACATTTTACTTTTTTTTAATCCCACTTATATTACATACGCGAAAATTTGTGACGATGTATATATGTTTGTTACGGATCCACTAAATGGTTCCGTAGAATAAATGTGCTGTCAAATCATCGTGTAAACCACATGAAACATATGTACGTTACGCATATTAAAAAATTTGGCAATTAAAAATAAATTAGACCAGAGTCAAACCATATAGTTAGATCATAGACATTTTTTAAATAAACAAATAAGATGTAGATACATTGTCAAAGCTACTGGAAATTAGCTTTGTAATTTCCCATAAATAATGATAAGATAGGTTTTTTTTAGATTTTGCTTCTATATAAAGTAGAAATATTAATCGGAAGTTGATTCAAAAATTTTGAACTAATAGAAAAACAGACTTGAAAAGTTGAAAAATAAATTGTTAGCAACTAAGCGCCTGTGTAGTTTTTGAGAATTATATTTTTGTGTAGAGTCTGTTTAGGAATTTTTAAATTTTTTTTAGTATCTATATGTTCAACCCATTAAAGGCCTAGTAGATTTACAATAAAACAGCCAATTTAATTTAAATTTAAAAGTAGCAATTACTATATGCATATTGCATTCTATGACGTAAACAGTAGAATATAAGAATTATGCCTATGAAAAATTTAAACCTGAAAAAAAGCACTAATAAATTGAAATCTTTATAAAAACTTTATTAATATTCGAATATATTTCTATCGGAAAACGGAACAGAAAAATACTGAATTCGGGGTCATTTTTTTGTCTATGAGTATTTTGCGCTTAAAGGTTAACATTTGCTTGGAGAAAATAACATTTTTGCGAAATCTGATGTGTTGTTCAATATACGATTGAGCAGAACAATAGATATTATTAGGTAATTACAAGAAAGGTTTATTTATTAATCCAATGGTAACTAGACTTTACAATTTGTGAAAATATTAAAATAGACAAAATTTTGGATAACCTTAAATATCTATATAATTATGAATTGAGTGCGATATTTTAAACGCAAAAAATATTTAGAAAAACGTAATTGATTATTTTTTTGTATATTACTTCGAATTTATGGTAACTCTGAATAAAAAACTAATTAAATAATAAAACTAATAAGAACATATCAACGATGCTTGCACATTAGTCGACATTTTTTTTTCAGAATTAACACTACAATAGCACTCTTTTTCTAATATAAACAAGATAAAATAAACGATTCAATAAAACAAATTACATCGGTTAATAAGACACAGATACAATTCATAATCGACCATATTATATTTATTAAGTATATATCGAAAGACTATATGTTTTATTTGCACAATAAGAAGGTCGATCACACATGACTAGTTAGTTAGGCTGTTCTAAAAGCCCGACCTTACATTATTGACCTAGCTCTTCATTTGCACCCCTAACTTAACGTGCCTTCCGAAGCACGAAAAAGCTCGACATAATGTTTTGGTCACCAACAGGTTGGTATTTGCGAAATTTCAACGTCACCAATCGCATACCGAATGCACTAACTTCTGTGTCATTGAGCTCTACTTCCTTTTCATAGAATTGTCGTTTATGAAACATAACAATTGGGGTAATAACATTTCCACAACACTTAGATAAAATTAGCGAAGTTGTTACTGATTGATAATGACTATCAGCAAATGGCAATAGAGACGTCATATAATAGTATTGTTTTTAATAACAAATTAATCATAATAGAGAGATTAGTTGGGTGGTCACTTCATTGTTTAGATTGCGACTGAATGCTTTAGTTTCTTTAAATTATGTTTATACATATTCTGTTCGAAAAATAAAGAAAAATTGAAGTTACTACCTTTTACGAAAAATCCCCAAAAACCACCAGAACAGGTATCTTTAAAAAAAAAATTGATTAAAAAGATATTTATCACTATAACAAGGTCAACTTAATCGAAAGTTTTAAATATATCTTACGATTGTTTGGGTAGATTGGCTGAATATAAATTAAAATACACCCATTAATAGCGAAAAGTAACAAGAGTTAAAAGAATTTATCAGTCTAGTACCTAATATCGATTCAACTACAACAGATAATGATACAGTTCTTGTCACGAAATCATAAAATAATAAATATATTACCATGTTGGTGAAGAAGACATTGCAATAATAATATTGGACTTTAGGTATATAGTAAAATGCAAGTAGCTGAGACTTCATAGAGATGCGATTATTACTCAAACATTAGCAGGGTTTGCAGTGAAGTTGCGTAGACGCTACCGCCCGGGACGGAAGACAATTTTGCTACCCCTCTTAATTGGGTATTTCATAGGTATTTTATATAATAATACTATACATTATATACATTAATTTAAAAAAAAAATTAGCAAGAGCTGTCATCATTATTTTGCATTACACAGGTTAGATTTTGACTGCACGGTTGGTCGAGTGGTTTAGTTGTCTCCATGCAACTACCCACGGTCCGAGTGTCGTGGTTCGAGCCCCACAAAGGACAATTTTTCGTGTGATTTATAAATAATTGTTCTTAGTCTGGGTATACTTTGTCCCTCGCAATACAGAACTTGTTTCCTAAAAAGCGGGATTATTTTTTCGGAAACGAAAAATAGAAATCAAATCATGAACTAAATAACTGAAGATCCATGAATAAAATTCTTATAAGTCATAAACAATCCAAACATAAAATAAAAAAGGAGTAATCCCCGTACGTCAGTATAGATGGTGTTGCCATTCGCTACCAAATATAATTTAAAGAAAGAGTACTCTCCGAATTCGTAATGAAAAATTCCATGCTCTTTTCATTCGGACCGAATTTATGGCTTTTTAGCATTTTTCATTAAATAGATCAGTATCACTATCACTATCAGTATAGTATAGTGAATTATAATATAAGCAAAATTGATTAAATATAATAATACATATTTATGCTGTGTGTTTATGGAATTCTCTCCTGGAGGGTGTCAGGAATACTAGATCATTAAATTCTTTTTGCGATCGAGATGAAAGCTATTTTCATTTTCTATGCTAATAGTATCTATTTATAGTTTCTTATCTATAATTTATAATTAATTATCTACAGATCTATCTATCCTATCATATCTTTCTGCCTTAGTACCCCATATTTTCCCTTTTATTATTCTCCTCCATAGATTTGTCTGGATGAGATTGGTATTAAGCAATGAAACCGCCGTTTGAACACTTTTTATTGTTATGCCGTGTAATTTGGTGGTCCTGTCTGTATCGTGTGCGATAAAGATATTAATATTATATATTTTTATTAAATAAGCTTGTACTTTTTGTTTTTTTTTGTCAAACAACTTTATCAGACTTTAAAGGTAAACGGTGACCCCCGGTTTATAGTTTGTAACTAGTGATATTTGTCTATATGTTGATTTTCGCGCCTGATCTTGTACTCGCATAGGACGAGGGCGTGAGCAAATGTAAAAATAGCTGATGTTGAATGAACGCTTCTTGTTTGTTTTGCCAAAATTCGAACTTCAAGCGTGATTAATTCCTTTTTTTTATAATGTTTATGTGACTTTGTGGATTTTAATTTTAATGGGAAAGCTGCGAACATTTTGCTGGTTAATCATATTTACATGAAACTTTTTGAAATGCCTTTGTTGTGTTCGTATTATTATTACACGCCGCTACTATCTAAAACTTAATTACAAAAAAAAAAAATACTTAACACTATTTTATCAAAAGAAGTTACAGTTTTCAAGGATATTATATATTATTATATATCTGTCGTTGCGAATACAACAATTAAAATTCAATCACATTTTTAGCAAATGCTTGTCAAACCCAAATAACTCAAATGACACGAAAATCTTATAGTGGAAAGAATCAACGAGACACTCGGCGAGAATTTTTCACCTAACTTCACCCGCGTAAATTATAGCCTATGTAACCCACCTATTATGTAGGTTCCCGTAGGTGATAGAATTTTATAATCGGTCCAGTAATTTCAGAGTCTATTCAATGCGAACCAAAAAAGCAACTAAATCTTTTCTCATTATAATTTTATATAGACATAAACAAATTCACAGATAAGCCGCTTTCAATTACGTCATTAAAAATAACTCGGGGAAAAATACACAATTCACAATCTTTATACATTCTCACTATCTGACACCATCTATAGGAAGACCTAGGGAGAAGAAGTGGGGATATTATTAGGGTTATAATGATGATGAAACTTTTATTTAACCTAATGATTAGGCAACAAAATTGTTTTTTACTATATTCACTAAAGACAGGTTGCATTTCATTTCACCAGAACACAAATATGCCGATCGGTAACGTGAGCAGAGACCCGCCTAAAAGGGACAATTATAGGCCTCCCTGGGTTAAAGATAAAGATGCAGATGCCCCCCCATCATGGATGCAGAAGAGACTGAAGCCTGTAGACTCCGCCAAGACAGCCACGGATTCTGAAGAGGCTGCAGCACCAACACCCACCGTTAAACCCTTGAAACGTAAGTCATTTATTGTTACTCCTTCTTCTTCAACTCGGTACCAGCACGTGTACCCTGACGAGTTCGAGAACGTTTTGTTTACACCCAAATGTCACTTTTCTCGAGTATGCCCATACGATATCTCACTTTCTACCTAAGAAAAGTGACATTTGGTGCAGACACAAAGGCTTTGTATTAAATAATCCATTTAAAAATCGAAAAAGGGGTGGTTATATAAATAATAATATTGCTTAAAACATGAATAGAACCGACTTCATACTTTTAAAAAGTGATAAATATTATTTATATCAAAAGCTATTTATTCAAGAAATTTCTATTGAACTCGGGCGCATATCATTTTAAAATTAACATTCAGAAAACGTTCGCCCTACTTCAACAGCAGTTTCCTGAATAAATGGCTTTTGAGAGAAATATTATTTACCACTTTTTGAAAGGTTGAAGTCAGTTCTTTTTATTTGAACTTTATTTAAATTGTTTGTGTATTAGGAAATGCTTATTTTATTGGTCAATTAAACTAATGAAAGTGAGGACCAGAAATCGCCAAGACGCACCACACGAATGTTATCGACCAGTGAAATTATTGGATTCACCATGTCTTCTCCAAGGTCTAATTTAACATTCTTTCTCGCTCTATTTCAAAATAAGTAAGTTAGAGTAGGTATGACGTCGAAAGAGGTCTAATCAAATATAACCTCTTTCAAGAGGTAATGATGATTTTATTTGATTGAATCTCTATGGTACGAGACCCTTATGCTCGAAGCTAATGTTTTCGAAACTCTTCCAGTCATGTCTTAATCAATGGAAAGCTATTATTAAACAAATGTAAATTAAAACTCAATGACGTCTACAACTATCTTAATAATACAATTATCGTAGTGGATTAAATGATGTATTAGTATTTTATCAGATGTAAATGCTAAAGATCGATGCAAGGATAATTAATAAAAGTATTTTATAGATACATATTGATAGATTTATTCTATTTTTATAATTAATGTATTATCGTAATTAATTAATGATTTTATCTATAATATCTATAAAAATAAAACCAAATGCCTTTTAAATCTATGCTGCTAATTTTGCTATCAAATAATGCTGGTAAATATATTATTTAGGTAGATATTTCTTTACGGTTTATACATACATAATTTATCAAAAGATACCAAGGAAAAATAAATCTGATATTTTTTATGAAATGAAATGATGTTTATTTGCAAGGAAGTGGTCACAGAAACGATGTTATTTATCAAAAATAAGCATACACATTCTGCCGACTTGGTCAGCGTACAAATATTTTAATACCTATAACAATCTAATTTATATTTCTCAATGTCAGATAAACTTAAAATAAATAATAATATCATTCCTCGTACATGCAATGTCAAATTATTAGAAATAATGTCAAAATGTATCATCTATAAAGTCGTTAACATTATGTAATAATAAATTACATATTATCTAATAATAAATTAAATACTACTTTCTGAAATTTATTAAACGGTAACTTAGTTATGTCAGTCGGTAATCCTATTAATATTATAAAGGCGAAAGTTTGTAAGTATGGATGTATGGATGTTTGTTACTCTTTCACGAAAAAACTACTGGACGGATTTGGATAAAACTTTACAGCAATATAGGTTATACATCAGAATAACACATAGGGTACTTTTTACTGGGAAAACTTCTCACTCCCACGGGATACCGACTTCCACGCGGACGAAGTCGCGGGCGTCCACTAGTCTATTAAAAATATGTATTGGCCATGCAGTAACAATTGCTTGAATATACATGGAGCCTTTGAGAAGGTAATTACAATTTGTCACGTTTTCCCCCTCTACGGTCAAAGTCGTTATTTGTTTTAAATAAGTTACAATGATTTTATACAAAAATACAAATTTCGTAAATGTACATACATGGAAGGGGCAATATACCCAACACTTTAAGTAATGGTCTACAACTGTCAAGATATCCTGCACCAGGAATGGTCAAACCAATCAACCGAATTTCCCCACACAATTATGCCATAACGCAACTTAGAACTGACATATCCATGGTAAGCCGTAAGTTCAGCTTGTTTTGATACCACTTGTCTGATTCGGTTTAGAGCAAACACGAACCTATCCATCTTTGATATTATTTCGTCTATATGTAATTTTCAGTTCATATTTTTATACCCAAAAATGACGCTGATTTTACATCTTTAATTTCAATATCATTTAATTTTATATTTAGCTTTATATTCTTACTATTTTTTGTTTTGAAGTGTATAAATTTTGTTTTACTGCTATTAATTTTCAAATTATTAAATTTCAACCATTTATCATTTTTTTTAAACTAGTCATGGCTGTATATTCTAGTGCCTTCTTAGTCTTTTCGTTTAAATGAGTAATGTATCATCTGCATACAAAACGAATTGTTGCTCACAGACATCTGGAAGGTTTTTTGTATATAGTAAGAACAACAACGGTCCTAGAACACTACCCTGTGGCACACTACACCCATTGAAGCGATAGCTACATCGATAAATATATTTAAATTGTTCAACAAAATGGGATATTTCAACGCATTGTTGCCTATCTTTAAGATAACAAATCCAAGACTAAGCATTTCTCCTGATTCCTTACCTCTCAAGTTTTCCAGCAAGTAATTTATGATAACAAAATCAAAAGCCCGGCTCATATCCAAAAATATAGCCATCGTTTTTGCTCCAATGTTTAAATTGTTAGATATATATTCACCCAACTGAAAGCAGGCAAGCGCTGTAGAGCTAGCCTTTCTGAATTCATATTGCTCAGTCTTTAGTACTTTATTTTGTGCAATAAATGATAAGATCTTATAACCCATCACCTTTTCATATAATTTTGAAATATTTGAAATAATCGTAAGAGGTCGATAATTTCTATATTATCCTCTGCTCCTTTTTTGTGAATTGGCTTTACTACTAGAGTAAGATCCCAGAACCCCCAGACCTACGTCATTTTAGCAAAGCTGAAATTTTGAGGATTGTTAGTACAATGTGTTGTTAGGAGCTATGCGGACTCACTACCTTGAAAGCGGGGCCGTTTCTCGGGTAGCGCGAAATACAGGTGCGTAAAAAACTTACTTACCTACGTTAAAGTAGCAAAGTTCGTTTTCACATATGTTTTTGAGAATATTATGTAGAATTCAAATTCACTATTGCCAGACACTTTCCGTGGGCCATTACTTCTACCAGACGTCTTTAATATTATTTAAAAATTAGGTAAACTACGTTATAGTAGCAAGCCTGAATTTTATATATGTTATTTTACGTACAATTTTGAGACCCTTGGTATGCGGTCAGACCAATCCGAAGGGCCATTCGTCCCCCCAGACTCCATTAACCTTTCCCTGTGAGAAAGAAATATACAGAATCTCCAGAATATACAGAAGCATTCCTCAAATTTGTTGAAGTGGAATTATCTACTGATAAAGAGAAGGAACAAAGTATATTCGATGTAATTCAAAAATTTATCTGCGAGTTATACAATGTTTCCGGAATAATTGATGTAGATGCTGCACGGCTACAACTTTTTATTAATACATATACAGTTGACAATGTGAATGAGGAATTCCAGCGGCAAAATGTAAGAAATTTTGACGCAAGCAATTTACCACCATGCAAATCCGAATTGCTTCAACAGTTTCGACGAGCAAATTATATTGCAAGTATCTGGAGCAATGCTCATATGAAGAATCCTAGCATTTTGAGCCCAGAGAATAATGGGTGGGTTTTAAAAGATAGCCAATATAATTTTAACTGGTTTGATGGTGACCAATTACCAAGTTTTGTGAGCGAGTCACTTGAAAACGAATTAGGTATTTTATTTTAACTTTAAATGATTTCAATATACTTGTAACTATTTTCAACATCATTAAATTATTTATTTTTACAGAGAATTCAAGTAACAATGAAGATCAAGGTGAAGATGATTTAAATATTCAATTTGAATGTGAATTTGATGAGGGAAGTAAGGGCTCGGACAATGATGATGATCATAATGAAAATGCATAGCTACGGACATAATAATTTTTTTTCATAATAATGTGTGAATATCTTTACATTTAAAATAAATTTTTATAGAGAAAACCATATAATATTTTGTAATTCTATTCTTGAAATAATATCCAAAATAATGTTCCTCATCTTCCTAAACACTCCAAGTACTTTTAAAATTCAATAGTTTACCTAATTTTTAAATAATATTAAAGACGTCTGGTAGAAGTAATGGCCCACGGAAAGTGTCTGGCAATAGTGAATTTGAATTCTACATAATATTCTCAAAAACATATGTGAAAACGAACTTTGCTACTTTAACGTAGGTAAGTAAGTTTTTTACGCACCTGTATTTCGCGCTACCTGAGAAACGGCCCCGCTTTCAAGGTAGTGGGTACGCATAGCTCCTAACAACACATTGTACTAACAATCCTCAAAATTTCAGCTTTGCTAAAATGACGTAGGTCTGGGTGCTCTGGGATCTTGGACTATACGGAAAGTTTTAATTTCGTAGGAAAGTGTCCTTGTGTCAAAGATAGGTTAATAAAATGACTGAGGGGTTTTGATAAGTAATTTGCATATATTTTTCTAGTATTTCAGTATTAATTTCGTCGAAACCAGTCGAAGCCGTATTTTTTTAATTACAAATTATTCAAAAGTATCGTTTTCGTGTAGTGTAAAATATATAGAATTGGTGTAAAAAGGAATATTTAGAGATTTTTTTTTTAAATTAATAGTCAAATTCATTCTCATTGCTCAGATTTATAAAATATTGATTCAATATGTCAGTTATGAGATTTGGGCCATGAATAACACAACTATCCTTTTTTATCGATTGAATTTCACTTTTTATATTCGCAGTTTGAACCTTTTTTTTTATAACGTCCCAAGATGCTTTGCAAACATTATTTGAATTTTTAACGTATTGAGCATTTACTCTTTTGCGTGATTGTTGTGTGCATTTTTTAATATCAAGGTATTTCGT